GTTGGTGGTGGGAACCCAGAAGGCAAATCACGGTGCATCTTCAAGGTCAAGGGGAATTTGGAAAAAGCAGTCTTTTATATCAATAACGGCCAGATTCCAATTTTGTGGAAGCATCGAGGGTGATGGCATGCCCAGTTATAGGGACCCCATGTCTTCAATTTTCTTATTGATTTCATGGAGGTTGTGAAGGAGCCGCCACCTATCCTTCCCCGGCTTCTTGATGACAAATATTGGAGAATTCCAGGGGCTTGTTGTTGGCACGATGTTACCCTTTGCCAACTGCTCCTCCACGAGCTCATTGAGCACCTTCAATTTCTGTTTGTTAAGCAGCCATTGATCTATCCAAACTGGTTCGTCAGTAAGCCAATTCAGTTTCTGGACAGGGCGCTCCACAGCGGCCACTAGGAAATTTCGATCCTAACTCCCCATTGAGATATGGTGTCCCTACCCCACAAGGACGCATTGTAATCCGTAACAAACAGGCGGATATTTGCCATGTGGCCATCAGGCCCTTCAACCTTAATGATGCTTTTTGACTGTCGAGCCTATTTGGCCCCCCCAATTCCTTGTATCTTACCTGCCGCGGGTTGCAGTTCCCAATGTGACAGCCATCTGTTGGTAGGGATGATTGTCACATCTGCCCGGGTATGGACGAGTCCATCAAGGTAGAAGTAGTCTTCACCCCAACGGAGTCCGCATCCTATTATAGGTTTATTCTCACCAATGACTTCTGCCCAATAGACACAGGGATCTGCCGGCTTTGTCATGATGTTATTTGGCACCAGGATCACCTGCACTATCAGTTGTCTCTTAGGCAAGGAGTATGGTGGTTGGATGCAGTGTGCCAGGAGAAAGAAACCGTCTGGACACACAGGTTGGGTCTGCAGCACAATGTCAATCTCTGGGGAAGTATGTTTTGTATCCCCAAGCACAACATACGTGCAGTCAAGTCTCGCAAACAAACCCGGAGACAGGGGTCCTGTTTCTCAACCTCCACCCTCAGTCTTTCAACAAAATCCACTATTGGCTCCGCCAGGCCTAGTCTGATGGTCGTGTAATTCACTCTGGTTCTTTCCCAGACATTATCATGAATGTCTTCTCGGCAATGGCTTGGACTTTCAAAATGACAAGCTTATGATTTTTTCAGCCTGTACCTCTGCCTGTGACCAATCACCTTTGCTGCACAGATGCTGCATGGTTATTATGTTGTTATCTGCGTCAATGGTGCATCCAGAAATCTGTAGAAGCTCAGGAAAGAGATCCCCAAGCAGCCTTTTCCATGTCACCTCCCACAACTCATATTCCTTTGGGAGAAGCAGACAGGAAAATAAGTCCTTCAGGTCGCTGGGGACCAACATGTTTGAGGAGCAGGTGGCATGTAAGAGACCTTAAAAATATTCACTCTTCCTCCAAAACTCTTTCTGAGCCTTACAGATTTCTTTCTTATGGGAGTATTCAAATGGCTGCCAATTTGGAATACCCCCTTGCCTTGAATAGCAAACAGGTGTGGCTCTAAGGGTGGCCCCCGGTTCCGGGTTCTGGTCCCCTGGCCTGTCGTATCCAGTTTCCAACTCGCGGGAACCAGGAGGAGCGTGGGAATCAGAAGTTGGAAGCTGGTAGGCAGGACCACTTGCTGAGAAGGAGGAGTCGATGAAACAACTGCATTCACGATGGGCGGAGCCATCTGCTGGTACAACACAGACTGAGAGGGTGGAGCAAGGTGGGTGACTTCATCTGGAAAGGCGGGGTAAGGGGCAGGGCAGTAAGAGGAGGTGGGAAACAGGAAAGGTTTGGGACAAGGGGTAAGTGGTGGAGCAGTGGGAGAAGGAAGGGGAGGGTCAACATAAAAGGGGTTCTAGGAAGAAGAAGGAGCACAAGGGGACGACCATGCTATGTGGCCAACGCCATCTTGTTCATTTTTGTACTGAGAAGTACAAAGTACTGAGAAGCCTGTTAAATAAACAGTTTTTTCCATTTCTCTCTGAGAAAATATTTCCTCGAAGCAGTTAGGGGAAAGACTGCTTGAATCTGTTTCCGAGAAGAACCCCATTCAGAGGTTTTCTCCCAGATTTGCCCTAAACCAGGACAACAGGTCACCTCCATGGTGTGGGGCACTCACAGCTCCTGCCCAGGCAGGACCACTGAGAAGTGCTAGCTTTGGGTACGGTATGGAGGTGACTGAGGAGGAGTAACAAGCAACCACCAGTGGGGGGGGGGGGGGGGTGATGTGTGTCAGCATAAAAAAGAGGGGTTTTTTACATTTTAAACTGCAAAAAAAAAGAGATGCTATTAACACCATGTCCTTACCATTAAAAAAAGGAGAAAAATAGAAAGAAACTTATTTTAATTAAAGAGCTAAAATATGGGGTTTATTTTAAGTAAAGAGCTAAAATATGGGGTTCCATAATAATCTTCTCAAATCTGACTGAATAACTAAATTGCTCCTGATGCAGAGAAAGCCTTCACACACTTCCTGAGAGCGCCTATTAAGTATCAGCATTAGGTGCTTTCTAGTTTTGAATTCTACTAAATTGTTGCATTTTCAGTTAATGAAGTACTACGGATCTGCCTACAACAGACAGAGGGCCCCATGTAGGACTAAAGATTCCAAGTCCTAGTTCTTAGAAGTAATTCAAGGATCTAATTTCAGCTGCCAGTTTGGATGCTGAGAATTCAAGGTTTCCTTGTGTAAGTCTTCAGAGGAACTTGGAGAAGTGAAAATGTGAGGGGTTTTTTTCCTGCTTTATTCTGAAATTTGAAACAGCTGTCACAAAATGTTTATAACCATACCTAGTGCTCAATAAATGTCTAAACCTAGAAAGAACTATGCATGAATTATGTCTGATTTATACATTAAATAAAAATAGAAAGAGCCAGTTGAATTTTAAAAATTCCTCCACATTCAGTAAGACTTGAAATTACAATGTCTATAGAATATTTCCTGCAAAAATGTGTAATGCATTGCATATACAATATAAAAAATATTTTAAAAGCTTTCTGCGGGTTTATCAGACAAGGTAAGTACCTGGGCCTAATTAAACATTCTTAAACTGGCTTTTCATAGTGAAAAATAGTTTTATTTTTAATCTCACCCCATAAAGTGCAGTCCAAGATTAAAAATAAGGAAAGATCTGAGCTGCCATTAATTGCTGCAAGTCATTGCTCTTGGACAGGTCAATAAACTCAAAGGGCCTTCAGGAATCAGATCCCAGGGGTGAGGCAGGACAATGCTCACCCCAGCTGTGGATCCTGACCAGATCTGAGGCAGCTCGGAGGTCAAATCTTCAGCTTATATCCTTTTGGGGCAATGAAGCACGTTGGGTTACAGCATCTGTGGAGAGGTGGTTGCAGGGCCACATTGTGATCCTGGTCCCAGATTCTGCCTGTGCCTTCCAGGAGTGACAGCCTCCCAAGGTGCAGACAAAACAGGGCACACTAGTGTTTCTAAACATGCAATCTATCTGTCCTGACTGAAGAGACACGTTTTAAAGAACAATTTTCATGGAGCTGAAGCTCCAGTTCCATTATAGGTACAAATAAAGTCATACTAAAGTTTTGCCTACAATGTAATGCAACTCAGAAGATATGTGAATCTAACATCCAAAAATCACTGCCATGACATGCCTTTATTTAGTTGCAAAATACTTTGGTAGACACTTCTACTGCTTCTTTGGAGGATTATTTTTAAACTGTAGATACTCTCGAGTCATACTTACTGATTTAACTTTGCACAGATAATACTTAGCCTGATTAACCCCAGGGAATGAAGATATTTAATATTTTTTCTTCCAGTTTATTACCCATTCCTGGCAAACAAAGCAAAATAAATCAATTAAAATGTAATTTTAAAAAGAGTATTCCCAGGTTTGGTTCATTAAATCACATCTTTGTAATTAATGTGGTCTTTATAAATGATTTAGACCTTTTTCAAGATCATCTGCATGGATCAAAATAGAACAATCTCATCCCAGTTTTATAGCACAACAGTGCTAGAAAAATATTTCAGTGGAATAATTTCAGAACAAAACTTTGTGGTTTAGCTCCCTAAAGCACAGAGGTAGTTGCCATTTATTTTGGCTGTCTCCATCTTGGCTCTGTGCATAATGAAAGTGCACAAACACTTCAGTCCTTCCTTGTGCGCTTTCCCCTCCAGTGCAGAAGTGAGCTCTGTGTGTTGCCACCACCCTAGCAGCTGGAAATTTCCCAGATTTTATCCCCCAAAATAAAGCAAGGCAGGTGAATGGATGCCCTGAGAGAGCCAGGTGGGAGGGACAGAGCAGCATTTCCCCTCCTGAGCCAGCAACATCAGTGTTTCCACAGAGGCCCTGGCCCTTTTTGGGGCAGTTTACACTCCCAGGGCAGAGGAGGGTGACTGCCTGACAGACAGTCTTTGCCAAGGGGCAGATAAGCCACACCAGTTGACTCAGGGAGCTGTAACTGAGTTTCCTGGGGGGACCAACCCACTGACACATCATGGTATTGGCTACGAGGTCAGTGCCATCCCTGGCAACAAGGAAATAGGTTGACAGAGCCATCTTAACACCAAGCTTGATTTGAGACACAGACCACATGGGAGGAGAACTTTTTTCTCCTCTTTAAGAAGAAACATGTGAGATGAGGAAACTCTTTCCAAATCTGATGGGCCCTTTATAGAGCTTTATACATCTGGAGTCACACCATGTGTATAACAGCTTGCTACAAAAACAGAGCTGAAGCCATCCAATTCTACAGCTTCAGCACAGGATAAATAAAACCAGCAGGTTAATGTTTCCCTGCTACACTTAAGCAGCAATAGCCTGGTTGTGACACTGCTCCAGACGGTTTATGATCATAGTGGCTATCTTACTCTTTAATGGTAACAGTGTTTTCATAGTATACATTTTTCTTACATTAAAAAATAAACCACGGACTTTTCTAAAAGCTGACTCCGAGCCTTCCCTCATTTCTCTACTATCCATGGTCATTTTACCACTGACAACAAAAAAAGGAGGACCAGAGCCTTTAATTCCCTACTTTTAAGTGTTAATATATTTACAGACTACTATACAAACAAGCACCAAACAGCAATTGCACGTTAATTAGAGTTACACAATATTTGTACATGTTGCTAAAACAATGCTGCTAAATGAAGAAGCTTTATTAGTTCAGAGTTTTTGGCTGCTGTTATTAAAAATATATTTACCTGAAAGGAAATCCAAGTATTTAATTTTACAAATGATTTAAAATATAGCAGTAAGCAACATAAACTATTGCTTTTTATGTTTCTACAATTTTTTTTGGCATAACACTGCCATACAGATACAGAATTATAAAGTATCTCTTTATAGTGCATTACAAATCCAGAAACTGGTTACCACTCCTACCAAATACATATGGTATTGGTACTACCAAACATGCATGGCATTCTGTAATTTAACACTGCAAAGGAACACAGAGAAGAGAGCAGGACCATTCATAAACAGACATAGAGCTGTTCCATTTTGCAAGTAAAAATTTTTGGGCTTTGGGGTTTTTTCTTTTTACAACACATTTTTCTTAGAATACATTTGAACAATGAAGTCTATGATATTTTCAAATTTTATCAGTGCAAAACTACACTTAATCATCTGTTGCCAAAATCAAACTGCATAAAGGGCAAACAACAGTGGGATACGTTAAAACACAGGAAAAAAAAAGAGCAACTAATGATAGCAAACATGCTTCAGCAGATCCCAGAAATGTAAGTGCCATAACCTCTTTTACTGCAAAACAATAATTTTCACATGGTTAGCCACAATAGTAAGTACATTCAGTATATTTCACAATAAACTTTAGTTGATGAAAACACCACTGAACTTGTAAGCGTGGTAGAACTGAAGAGCCACATTTCTAAGAAGAGACTTCTTTCAGAACAATTTGCCAATTCTCACATTTTTTTAATCTTATAGCAAACAGCATAATGTTTCTGAAAATAAATGTAGAAGTGATTACAAGTGTAAAGCCAGATGAGGTCTCTATTGAATTGATCTCTATAGCTTTTGAATTACATTTTAGGAGTCCATTACATACAGCACGTAATACACCTATTCTTTAAAGTAAATTCTTGCTTTCACCAAAGGTCTTAACTCAGTGTACTTAAGAACAAGGGTTGGAAAGGGAACATGGCTTTCAGGAAAAGAAACAGTTCACAGCCAATATTGAGCACAAAGATGTTACAGAGACACTATGTGCACTCCCCTTGGAGAACTGCATCTAAATATCTTCAAGTAGTGAACCTGTGGTGTTGACCATAATGTGAATTAAGGGAGGTTGTATATGCTTAGGCCTTTTTTGACCCATCCCTCATTTTCAGACTCTGATAGCCATAAAAAATACCTTTTGATCAGTTACTCCAATTACAATTGGAACTGTGAACATGTATCAAAAAAATTACCAAAATGTAGAATGATGAGTATGGTTCTCAACAAACCCCAGACAGTATTTCCATCTTCTACATGATCACAATGTTAGATTTATTGATGCTGGTTGCTCCATATCCAGAGGTAGCTCACTCATATGTGGGCTAGGAATAGGTTTTCCATTTGACTGATTTTGCTTTTATACCAGTAAGAAAAAATAAATCAACCCCGTTCTGCAGTTGGAATCTGACTTATAACACTTAATCTACACTTTTAACACTAGTCTACAAAAGTATTTATGTGCAAAAATGTATTTAGAAGGAATAAGTAAGGTTGCATTGTCATCAACTTAGGACAAGTTTCTGCCTGAGCAGACATCTTCTGCCTAAGAACAGAAGAAACATGGGACATTTTCTGCCTATACAGGTATTTTGTCATTAGACTCTCCCATGACGTTTAACAACTGATTTGAAGTGGATTACTCTTCATCTTACAATGTTTTTAGTACTGTGTTCAAATGCAGTAGCAATTCTTGAATAAACATATCTGAGACAAATAAGAGAGCACCTTCTCCACATAAAACATTATTAAAACATGGAACTCACAGCCACAAGGGATTGTAAAGGCTGAAAGAAACCACGAGTTCAAAGCCAAAAAATTCCTGAAGAAAAACGGGATCCCTGTATAATTTCTTTGTTTCACAGCATCTTTTGGTGGCCACTGATGGAGGCAGGACTAGGCAAGGCTAGAAACATCTTTGGTTCTGATCCCCACTGGCAATTCTGAGGACAACATACATCATCAGCATGATATTGTCACACTTTTATTAATGGCAAAACTTGCTTCACATACTTGCATCTTATTCATAAATACAGCTTTTACAAGGAAATTGAATATGATATGTTTCCTGCAAAAGTGTGGTGTAAAAAATTTACATTTTCACTTAAACATATATAACTATAAATTGTGATCAGTACTATCACAACAGTCAGGAGAAAGGTGTAAAATAACCTCTCAATTAAACAGATAGACATAAGTTTTATTTAAAAGCAAACAAGAGCTGTTTTCCATCTAAATCCTTTAAAACTGATGTGCTTCTGCAATAAATAACTTTATAGCAACTATTAACTTCCTTGGCTTTTTAAAAAAACAAACAATAAGCCCAACAGTATAGGTGCCCTAGAGGCACCGAGAGGTTTGCTAAACCTCACATCACTTGTCTTACCTCATTGGATCATCCATCAACGCTGTACAAAGCTTCTAAGATCTGTAAACCTTCTGTTTATAGTACAGATATAAGCAAATACAGATTATTAGAATTATCCTGGAATAATTCAGGGAGGCTTACACTAGTTTACATGAAATATTAACAATGATTATACAAATACCTAATACATTAGAGTGCTGCAATCTTAGAGCAGGAAACTGAGGAGCTGACCCAAGCCAGGGAACAACCCTCAAAGGATTATTGCACTTATTTTTAGCATCCTTCAGGATTTTATTCGAGCAACACGAACACAAAGATCTCAGACCTGCTCCTAGATACGTGGACACATGTAACTATTCTGCTCTGAATGGTCTGTGCTGCACACCTCATGTACCCGAGCCTTCAGTCCCTACACCAACACAGTATCAGGTAGTGAGGCACACTTGTGTCTGGCATAGCAGGGCACAGAGCTGTAACTAGCCTTAAAGTGCTGCATTTTTGCATGATTTGTATGATCGCCTTGTGTGTACTCATCTGTGTACTCATTGTTTCGAGTTGCACATTCATATCCCCTCACCATAAGATCCCTAACATCAAATTCACAGGTATGTGCATGTACACACTACTCCCACCTAACAGTACCAGAGGCTACTCAGATGTACTTACTTGGAAAGAACCTCACATGGAAGGTTCTGTCCAATTAACATATGAACAGCACAGATTCTAGTCTAACACTGGGCCAAAATACACTATTGTAATAAGTACACAGAAATCCCTGAATACTTGAGCATATAGCAACACAAAAAGAAATTTAACAGTAAGCAAATTACTTGACTTTCTTTGCATACCCTCAGTTCCTGAAGTAATGGTTAAACAACTATGTACTGGCATCTATGAGAATACAATCATTTCAGCACACATATATATATACTATACATACACTGTAAACCAATACTTAGAAGCTTCAAGCACGGGGTGCTTCTGGTTGCTAAGGCCATGATTCTGTAACAAAAATGCATACAGTGCACCCACTTGATCCTTGCACATCTCAGTGGGACGCTACGCTGTATGATTGCCCTGCAAGAAATCCTTCTTTTCAGTACTTGCAAAATCAGAAGAAACAATTCCTCCATGAAAAGAATGATGCACTGTCACATTTTACATAGAGAATTTGTTAGTTAAAGCTGAAGTATCTCATGGGTGTAATTCTGTTGATAAAGCTGTAAAACAAGGATTAGAGAGAGTAGGAGCCCACCTGACACAAAATCCCTCACTTACATAGTCCCCATAGCTCTTTGCAGGCAACTGATATGCCACTACTCTTCTATAAAAACAGAAAGAAATATATTGTGTTTCAGATAAAAAAAAATTGCAGAGTTAACACAGGTGTAAATACCAAAGTTCTTGACAATATTTTCAGATACTTTGGCCCCTTAATGTAGACAGCTCTGTCATTAAAAATATTTTAAGCACTTAATTATGAACATCAAACCAGTAAGCATGCTTAAGTGAGATGATAACAGAATACTGCAGAGTAATCTTCTGGATGCACATCTCAAGAACTTTGTTGAAAATCAGATCAAGATTTCTCTTTTTTTTGTTCAGTAGACAAAAGATCTCCTGAGTCATTGACGTTCAATCAAATTACACTATTAATATAATAACACCTCCGGCATCCCTTATTTCATTTCCATACTCTGCATTTTTTGTAAAGTGTTTAAAATTAATACTAAAGTTCATAAATTGAAGGCTCTGTATAGCTTCTTATGCTATAGTTATGTTCCTTATACAAAGGGTATCAATTTTCCCTATGGTACTCAAAAAATAACTATGTAAGAACAACTCCATGAAGTTTGCACAGTTAGGCACTCAAGACTGAAAAAGTCATAGACAAAAAATGAAGTGTCGTCCCTTTGCACACGTGGAGGGGCAGAGTCCTTAACTACACAGACAAGTTTTATCACAGCACTTCCTTCCCCTTCTGTTCTGAAGGTCAGAGGCAAACACAAACAAGGGGATCCCAGTTCATGTCCAGGGAGTTGTGAAAGGCTTCTCAGGATCTTTCTGGCCTTAAAAAGGTGGTGGCTGGAATTCTTTGGGGCATTTATGCTCAAACAGACTTAATGCCCACTTGAATGCTTCAGGTTACTCTAAAAAAAAAATCCACGTATAGAAGTTCCTTTCCTCACAAGTCAGCACAGAAGGATAAATATATCCTTTCTTCTCTGCTTCATTAGGATGGAAAGAGCTTAATCTTTTTCCATAGGTACCAAGATCCCTAACTGCCACTCTATTTGATCCCAAGAACCAGCACCACCTGAAGAAAAAAAAATAGATGATGCATTGCCATGATGGGCATTAGCAAAACAGAATACAAGACATTTTTTCTATGCTGTGAAATCCCTGAAAACTTCATCATTTAGAGTTTTAAGATTTGAATAAAGTCCTGAAGCATTTTGACACTCAAACTGTAGTCAGCCTCTTGTCTCATAACATTTAATCAGAAATATATTAAAGGGAATGGATAATATGTACACTTTTAAACAGAAAATACATACAGAAATTTTAGAGTATTTTAGGACTGTAGGCAGTGTGAATTTTATCTGCATTATTTTTAAATTCATATTCTGCACAACTAACTTGCCTGTCATTTGACTTGAACAACAGAAAATCAGAAGCAGCTACTCAGGGAGAGCAAACAGATCTTAATAGTGAAATTCCTACTTGTTGGGCTCTAGCCAAGCCAATAGAGTGGCCTGCTGTAAGTTACCAATGATTATCAAAGTAACATAAAATTGTGAGAGACTTATGATATAGTGCAAAGAGAGGAAACAGACAGTTGGAAAGAAGCTTCAGGACTGCCTTTGTATCTGAGACCAGCAACAGGTGACCGCATTGTACAGATTCTACCCAAAACTGACCAAGAAACATCGAAGTTCACTTAAAACCCAACATGACATGGGTGGTGACCTTTTCTCTGAGTGCTCTGTGGTAAAGACACTGCTTTCCAGCTGTCCAGAGGCTTCCCAGGTGCTGAACCCAGCTGGGGGAGTTGTCTTATTGCAGCTGATGACAGAGAGCTTTCAAACAGACCAAATTTGAGAGAGCAAAGACATCCTTCCCACGCTGATTAGTTGTAACAAATGAGTCAAGAGAAGGGAGAGTTTAACAAGGACTAAAGAAGTGTAAAGTGCAACTTCCCTTGTATCCAAAAGCTATGGATACAGTTTCTTTGTAAGTTAAAACTTTTATTCAATGTACAGTGATTCCCAGCTGTACAGGACATGATATATGCTATCCATTGTTAAGTGCCTCCAAAAAAAATGCCAATCTAAGGTAAAGATACTGTGCAAATACTGCTATTAATCGTGAACATAGTTCCTGAAACAATAACCACTAGGGTAACAAACTGTGTTTTTGAAATAATTTCTAGTAATTTCCTAAATGGAAAACAAAACTTAAAACTTAAAGGAAACTTAAAAATTTTGATGTTCCAAAGCTTTTTAGTTGTTGCACTTTATTTTTGTATATTTTTAAATTCTGGATGAATTTTAAAAAGTAGATAAGCTTTTGTGTGCAATCTGTCTGAAAAAGATAATGAATTTCTTAGCTTTCAATATGCACAACTGTTTTAAAGAGACACACCTGGCTGACTGCTGATAAACTGAGGTTGAAAAAAACAAAATTCATTAACCTAACAGAAGCCTAATCTGATGCATTTGCAGCAAGCATCGCCTCGTGAACTTACACTAGCTGGAAATTTCAACCAAAATGAAGAAGCAATGAATAATTTGCTTCATTCAAAGTTAAACAATGATTTTTAAAATCTCAGACTCATGGTTTGAGCTCATCCTTAGCTTTTGTGGTAGTCCCTCCTGAAAATGTACCCTTATCAAGGTTATCTTGTTGATCTGCTGATGTGTCTTCTGAAGAATTCTCAGTGTTACATAAATCTTCCTCTATAATGCCTGGGTGATTTCCACAGTCATTGTTCAGATTTTCATCATCTTTTTTGGAATGAGAATCGTCCTCCTTTCTGTCTGAATTATCATGAATTTCTTCTGATTTTGAAAGCTGACTGGTATCAGTGTCACTGTTCTTTTCACTGTTGCTCTGCCTAACAGCATCACAGTTCACTTCTTGTTCATCCTGATGATTTTCTTCCCCATTTTTTGTGAATTCTACCTTTCTTTCTTCAGTTATTTTACCAGCTGAGCTTCCACTTGCCGAAGCATTCTTAGACTCTTTCGGTTTCTTATGCTTAGAAATATGACTACTGGGAATAGAAACTGGAGATGCTGGCTTTTTATTTGCTTTGCTTCCCTCTGACTTCTGTTTCCTTGGGGGTCCCCAGATAAAATGCTCTGAGGGCGTATAATGTTGCTGGGCAAACCTCAGCAGTTTCCTCCTTTCTCTTCGGTCTCTAATAGTATACACAAAATATTCCAGAGCACTTTGCTTAATGTTGGGAATGGTATCTTCCACAAGAGCTTCATGCAGAATAAATTTTACCAGGGGAGATTTGAAACTCTCATATCCAAGTTCGCCAAGACTTTTCAGAATTCGAGTGATTCTCAAGTAGTTATGTTGAGACCTTTGAAAGAAATGGGTAAAAGAACTCTATTGAATCAGGAAAAAAAACACTTCACAAATTCAGAACTGGAACTGCAATTAATCAGTCCTTTTTATCACTTCAGGTATGTACTTCAGACTTCCTGTATTTTAATTTCTCAAAGCTGCTGAAGCTTACTAGCACCTTCTTTGCTAGGATGTTGTGAGTGAAAATTAGTGTTTGTAAAAAGCACTGGGGGTGAGGGCTGAGAGAAAATAAAATCAAACATGTACTGATTTTTCCTTCTGCTGTATGAGAAGGGCAACAAAGCTGGTGAAGGGTCTGGAACCCCTAAGTCCTATGAGGAGCAGCTAAAGGTAATGGGTCTTTTTATTCTGGAGCAACAAAGGCTCAGGGGAGACCTTATTGTTCCCCAAAACTGCCTGAAAGGAGACTGTGGCAAGGGGGGGTCGGTTTCTTGTCCAAGGCAGCAAGTGACAGGACAAGGGGAAATGGCCTCAGGCTGCACCAACTGAAGGTTCAGGTTGAGTATTAGGAAAAATCTCTTCCCTGAAAGAGCGGTTAAGCATTGGAACAGGCTGCCCAGGGACGTGGTGGAATCACCATCCCTGGAAGTGTTCAAAAGATGAGTAAATATGGCACTTAGTGCTATGGTTTAGTTGATCTAGTGGTGTTAGGTCAAAGATTGTACTCAATGATCTCAGAGATTTTTTTCTAACCTTAATGATTCTATGCTGTTCTCTTTCTGGGGAGAAAACCCAGTCGTTTTGTAAACAAAAGGGTTTGTATTGTATTTATGGTGCAGTTACAGAACAGGGTTCATTGTACTTCACTCAAGTTATTTAAAAGCTGCGTCTCCAGACAGACTAGGAGCTGCACTACTGATACAGTCATTGCTGGGGGAAAAACAGGCACCTCTGGAGAGTAAGTCCCACTGTTGTAGGAAATATCTAAGAGAAAATGAACAAACTGTCTTCTGGAAATGCTTGTGAAAAGGTCTTTCCCTCGTAAAGCACACCTTAGTATGCAGTAAAACTTTTAAGTATGAATTTTAGATGGATAAAATTAGGCAAAGAGAGTCCCAAATTCTGACTTAAAACTGTAGCTACTCACTGGATAGAACAGCAGTGAAAACATGCAGTAACATTTGGGCTTCTTGAAAACCTGTTTTATCTGTGGCCTGAGTCTGAGCCCACATCCATATTGGCTCATATAATGCTAAAGTAAAATTATTAACAAATTATTCCCACTGTTTACCTGGAATCCATCAGCAATTGTACCTACAAGCTTTTATCATGACAGGAGAACAAAATGCTGCAAGAAAACAATCTGCAACTCTAAGGTCAAAGATATTAGGAAAGTGAGCACAAGATTTGAAAAGAGCTTTTGGCACAATTAATCTGTATGAGACAAAATTCAGTGCAAACTTAGGATCCACACAATACCAATTAAAAGCAACTGATACAATTTGCTGAACACTGGGCCATGGTTTGATATAACATGCTTAAACCTTTCCAGATCACCATTTCAATTAAAAATACTGAAATACTAACCATTTCATGTTTTGAGGAGGGAGGGAAATCTTGTTGCTTAACTTTCATACAGCTGTGGAGAATTTGATCTTTCTCAAAAAGAAATGTAAAATACAAAGATAAGCCACTTGTTTTTTACCAATAGCACTTTGGGACTGGGTGAAAACAAGTTCAGTACCATGACAAATCAGTTTGGAGCTGGGATCTTCTTTAGCACTATCTAAAGTTGTATTTTCAAGGAATTCAATGATATCAGTCCAACTGGTAATGGGTGAGAAGAACAATCAAAAAAGGGAAAGGAGGAACATACAGATAGAGGTGCAAACCAGGCATCAACTATTTATTTTTCCCCTTTTTTTCCTGGCAGTCTTTGGAAAAAATATCTTTGCTTTCTCTAGAAAACAAAAGGACAAAGAGATTCTATAGCAATTCTAGCAAGTGAAGTGCATGTTATTACTTACTCATTCAAATGCTGAAATCTTTCTTGCCAGTTAGCAGCTCGTGCTACGTTTCCAGTTTTATCAATTAATTTTATTCCAAAAAACTCCAACATCATTTTGTAAGCCAAAAGGAATCTTCTAATTGCTTCTTTTGTTTTCTTGAATTCCTAATGGACAAAGAATATATCCGAAATTCTAAGTGGCTCTAAAGCAAGTACTTCTGCATTTGTATAAGACAACTCTACATAACAAAAAGCAGTTATATATTAAAATTACTGTGATGGTTTGTATGGAGCTCAATTTGTATTACCTCAATTTCATATGTAGTTAATTCTTTAGCATAGAAGTTCAGACCTTGTTCCCTCAGTGGAAAAAGCCTGTTAAAAGAAGAAGTGCATTATGGCTCAGTATAAGAACACACAATCAAATTAATGCTTTGAAACAGAAATAGATAATAATTGACCAACCACTGTATGTAAGTATGGTTATGTTCCAGTTTTTCATAGTCTCCTTTCCATTTATTTAGGACTTCTTCAATATAAATTCCTGCACAAAAATAATTTGAAAAATTGTCAGGTAGCTATCAAAACCAGCACTCAGCTACATAAAGTATATGCATGTTAAAATAATGATAGAACACATACTTTAATTGTCTTTCACATACTATGTGATACTAGGTCTATGGCAGTCATAAATAATTTTAATTTAAAGCTAATTTAGTTACTAAAACTTAATTAAAAAATAAGGTACATATAAAATGTCAATATAAACAAAACCAACTGACTTATACTGGGTTCCTAACAAGTGAAGGTTATGTGACAGCAATCTATGTAAAATATATCCAAGAGTTCTCATGTCAGAGATTCCTTTATCACACTGACTGGGAATTAACAAACTGCTTCCATAAAATACTGCACTGTGAATCACCTGTCATTGCTTTTGCAAGACAACACTCTGCAGCTATCCACCTGTCTATCTGTCCATCCATCTGTCCATCCATCCATCCATCCAATCTTCATAGAACAAAGCCTCAACTCTCCCATACTAGGAATCTCTCCAGCTGCAAATACCATTATGTTTGGGCAATCTTTCTTAATTAATGGTAACTAAACATCACACTGAGACTGCACTCATGAAATTCAGTCATGGGCCAGGGCACTTTTCCAGGTATTACACAGATACATAAAGTACATAAAAAGGATGATCCTTGTTATCAAAGCTGTACAATATCCTTCCATGAATGAGCACTGTGTTTGTTTCTATTCTGAAGCCAACAACAGTTTTCTATTCTGAAACCAACAACAGCTGCACAACATCTCCCAAAGTCAAACAGCATAGGAACAGGCTAAAAAACCCAAAGCCCCATGTACATAGTCTCCTATTATACATTTAAAATGCCTCTTCACCTTTTGAAATCGAAAACTTCCATTTGGGTCTCAATGGCAAAGGAGGACACATTTGATACTTTTATTTATGAAGTGAAGAAAGCAGCTAGTCTAAGGGGCTGCTAAGTATTTGGGGTTTCCAGTGTAGGCAAAGCTGGAAAAGGACCTTGGAAAGAGGACCTTCACCATCACTGTATTGTATCCAACCTATATTTCAAGTATTGGAAAATTTGCTGCTTGGTCCCAGGGCAGAGAGACAAAGAGGCCAGCTCTGATCCAGAACCACAAGCTAGTCTGTAGGTCATGGAACTAAACTTCAGATCTAGTATTGCACTAGAAATGTTTTGGGTTTTTTTTAACAACATTCTCCAGTATTTCAGTCCTTAAGTTGGTAGCTGAGACTCCCTCCAAACACTCTCACAGATCCAGACTTGGGTCAAGGTGGTGGTTACTCTTCATTCTCAATGCAAACTTCTGCATAACCAGAACTCACAGCCAACAACACTTGAGCCTCCATGGCTTATCAACTACCTTTGACATTACTCATTGTGATTCTTTCCTAGAATACTAAGAGAAATGTTATTTTTTACAAATTTTGGGAGGGAAGCCCTCTTATAGCTTCCACGACTATCTCTTCTTGTAGCTAATCCTTGAACTGCTCCTTCATTTTGGACTTTAGAGGAGTTCTTCCCCACAATCTTTTCTGTCTTTCAGTTTCACAGCCATATGGTCCCCAGGTTCACACAGACCTCAGTGCCCTTCGCTTTCTTTCTATATCTGTTCTCTGGGTAACATCTCCCAAATCTGCTACTTTATTTGCAATTCACAGACCCACCTTTTCTTGCAGTCGAGCTAAAACTGACTAAAAGGATCTGCCTATGGGTATCTAGATAAAGCTCAAGCCGGTTACAGCAAAAGTCTTATCCTTCTTTCACAACCTGAGTTACTTTCTCACTTGCTAAGGGTATTACCACTACCTTGTCTATAACAGTTCTCATCTTCAACTTTCCTATATATACATTTTTACAACCTTCTGTGTAACATTCCTTTCCATCCAACTTCCTATCTGAACTCTCACACTTTGCATCTCAACTTTTTTTTTCCTGACCTTGAAAAGTGCTTTCTTGTCATGCTTACACCTACTCTGAATGTTGCTGAATGCAGCTACCCTGAATGCTGGGAAGATCATCTTTATAGACTGTTACTTTTTTATACTGACCCGTTTTTTTTTGCTTTGCATTCTTCCATTGTGAAACCCTGCTCAGTAACATAAAAAAAAAACAACTATACACTTTCACTTCCAAAGCCTTTGTGACCTGTCCCTTGCTTCCTTATCAGAACCCGTTTGTTGCTATGAGACTGATCCTGCTTCCAACAGGATCCTGCCTCAGAGGAAGCCTACACATCTCATTCCTCTGCACTTCACTATTTCCTACCAAGCTGCTCTCACACTGAGAGGATCTTTCTGCAAATACCTTCAAAGTAACCTTGTCATCATTCTTTTAAAACTCAGAAAATCTTATTTTTTCCCTTCGGTTTGTTGTTTTATTTTTTACTAATGGCTAAGCTCTCTTGTGCTGAGACTCCTCTCTGTCACCCTTACCAAGATTACTTTATTGCCTCCCCCTGCATTCTGATTTGTCTGCTCTCCTATTGTCTCTCATACATCGACTGCAAACTCTCTAGAGTAGGGCTTGTCATCTTTCAGCTTCTCCTGTGTTTGTGCAGAATGCTGCATACAAGGTTCCTGCTCCACTACCAGAACCACTAGGGACACTGAGAAATTACTTCATTATTGTTATTACAATAGTCTCACCCAAGATAACAGCACATTTTTTTCCTCTTACACAGTTTTAGGGATAACACCCACAGATCGCTGCCACTCCTAATCAAACAGCAAGTTTGTGCAATATAGTGAAAGAACTTTATCTTTGTTTAACAAAAGGTACTGCCACAAAACAGTGGTACTAACAACACCTTGCACTACTTCATGCTGATAATGTCTAAGAAAAGCACCACCTTCCTAGAGTGAAAGCTAACTCTGCTTTAAGCACAAACTGCTCTTGTGATCAATGTGCTACTCCAACATGGGAGGCTTATGTTCAACAATACATTACTACAAATCTTTAATTTGCCTCAATTATCACCACTGTTTCAATTTGCTACTATTATTAGTGAGAATTCTTTTGTTATCACCATTATGGTTGCAGATTACTCACCATCAGGTTTAAATGGGATTTTATTTTTGTAAAACCGGAGATTGCACAAGTCATTTTGATACCGAAGATCTTTAAAGTTCTGCTAAAAGAAAGGAAATAGGACATTATTAGCCTACAAAAACCTACCAAGACTATCCAGAAAGTGATATTGGGCTCTTTTAATAATTTAAGGACAAAAAAATTCAGAGTTTTAGGAACCACAGAGTTCTACTCATGCACTAAAAGACTCAGTTTAAGGATCTGAAAGTTCTTTCTGGCTGATGCCTTCTCCTACTGAGGCAGCAGCAAGCAGAGCAGCACCCTCCCTTCAGTTTCAAGGAACTTGAGAGACAAATAATCAGTCAGGAAAACTCTATAATCTACCACCTTTGATATCCAAGGCACAAGTGTCTTCCTAGGCTCCTATCACAGTTCCCAAGCTTACACATATCATGTGTTTGCATGTTTGCCTGGGATGAAAAGACACTGCTTCTCTCCCACTCACATATGTTGTGCCTCTGTATCAGCTTTTTTGCTTCTCATTTCTTGTACTTATTGGACAACACAAAGGTTTAAGAATGTTTTTTACTGAAAAGGCTATTTTAAACCATAAAATATTCTTACTGGATACTGGTGTCGGTACTTGTATAAATCTCTTGCTGCATAGAAGCTTCTCTTTGGCTTGGCTGTCAGCTCAGTTCCATCACCACTCTGAAACAGTTAGAAAGCAGATATTCATCATACACCAACCCCCTAAATAGCATATTTGTATAATATTAAAATAATTACTTTTCATTATGCAATTCTGCAATATAAACACACATAAGTGTATGTATTTGCCTACTATTTGGTCAAACACTGAAAATCTGTATTAGATATAAGATTAAATAAGTAACTGAACTTGAAAATGCAGAGACACCACCAATTTTGAGGAGGAAATTACACTAGTTGCAAAAAAAAAAAAAAAAAAAAAGGAAAAAAAGAAAAAGTCATGTGTACATAGACTTAATTGCTATTGTTGCACCCTGTGGAAGAAGATGAATAGTTATTAAAAAAATGTCATTCTACTCCTTGCAATACACGTGTAATAGTTAAAGCCAAGCTTAAAACAAGAAGTTCTGTGGGACTACACTGAGTATGTGCTGTTCTTATTGCCCATCTCGTGGCTTATCAACTGCACTTTAATGACAAACAAGCAACTATGTTCATTCCTCCTTTCACAAGACAGCTTTGACCATACCTGCAGACAAAACACACTTGCTTGAACAAGAAACACTCCTTGACACTTGGTTATCCGTCACTAGTATCACCATGGAACAAACAAAAAGGGAGAGACGCTTAGGCTAACTTAATTTTGTATGGTCCCTGAACCAAAACACGATATATCTAGCAACCTAAAAAAAGACCCAGCTGTTCCACCCTACATGGTATTCTAACTCTTTGTCAAAAGAACACTTTATTTCTTTAAGCTTGGTATTTACAAAGCTTCCTAAAGAAGAGAAACACTCTGAAAATTCATCACACCTACCGAGGAGTCACAATGCCATTGCCACATAGGATCAAATATTCAGATTTTTATCCCGCTTAATGAAGAGGCCACGTTAAATGCTCCATTTAATTTAAAACAGAGCCTTCCCTGGTAACATCAGCAGCGGGAACGGGAAACCAAGGCCTCGTTTTTTTCCCAATAATGCCAGGGGAGGGGTGGGGAGAGATGCGAACGGGCTCGTCCTTAGTGGAGACGCAGCCGCTCCGGGCGCTGGCAGGTGCCGCCGGCAGCAGCCCGGGCCCGCCAGTGCCGCAGAGCAGCGGAGCGGGGCTGCCCGGACCGCGGCTCCGCTCGGCTCGGGTCCGCCCGGCCCCGCTCGGCCGCCGGGCAGGGCAGGGCAGGGCAGGGGGAGGCGGGGCCGCGTCCAGCACTGCCGGTACCTGCTCGGGGCTGGCGGCGTCCGCCTCTGCCCGCTCCGCGTCCTCCTGCGCCGGCGGGGTCGGCGGCGGCTCCCGGGGCCGGCAGTCGGCGGCGGGCGGCTCGGGCGGCTCTTCCCCGCCTCCCGCGGCGGAGCACACCCCCTCCTGCCGCCGCGGCTCCGCCGCCTCGGGCTCCGAGTCGGTCTCCCAGGTGGAGTCGCAGTCCTCCACCGTGGTGGGCTCCTTGAAGCTGACCCCGCTCAGCAGGCTGCCCATCGGCCCGGAGGCCGCGGAGGCCGAGGGCTGGGAGCGGCCGCGGGCTGCCTACGGCTGCGGCATGGCGGGGCGGGGCGGCGGCGGCCGGGGCTGCTCCCCCGCCCGGCCCCAGCCCACGGACACGCGCGGGGCGGAGCTGGAGCCTCCGGGATTTCCACAAGAAACACTCGCCCAGCCCTGGCGGCGGGCACCGGGCACGCCCGGCCGCCGGCACCGCGGGGTCGGGCGGGGCGGCTCGGGGCCCGCCCCGGCACCGGGCAAGCCGTGCTCGAGGGGAGAGTGGGAGTCTGCCCTCCGAGGACGTGCGGGCATTTCACTCCCCGGAGGCGACCGCGGTGTCCCGTGAAGGCTTACGAGAAAAGCAAGAGAGTGCGGGTGTTCATCGAGAGGAGTGGGGAAGGCTGCTGCCCAAGAGCAGTGCTCGGGGGAGGTGATGCTCTGAGTGGCAGAAGTGATCCTGCCACCTGCAGTGTGCAAGCTCCGGCTGTCCCCTGGGCATGGGAATGGTTGTGGTGAGGTAGACCCCAAGGAGTATACAGGTACTAAAGAATGCATAATGGAGAGGGCAGTACTTGGGGCAACCAGCCAGTTTTGGCTGCTTCTAAAATTCCTGCGAGTTTGGGGGTGAAACTGACCTGATGTTCAAGGATGTTCAAATTTGAAGGAGCAGTGACAGCGTGTTTTGTATTTGGCTAGTACGTGCCTTTTGGACAGAAACATTGCCAGTAGTGAAGACCTGATGAGTTGACAGCACATTGCTCCAGTGCCTACTCTCACCCTCATGTCTAAAAGTGTGTCATTATTTCTAACCAGGGTTGATAGGCTTTAGTTCACACTCAGGGATTTCTGCCTTCTCCTTAAAGTCAATTCTGTGGTGTCTGGTGAGCACTCCTAAAGATGTGTATTATTATCAAGTCATCTAAGTCCTCTTCTTGGTAAACCAGACAGGTAGAGCTTCTTCAGCCTCTCATCATAAATTCCCTTTCACATTCCCTCACTCCAAGTAGTACCTTTTTTATCTGCTGCGTTGAATGTTTTAGCATCTGTTTCAAGTGCAGGTACCAACAATTTAACTGGATGTCAGGGTCATCAGTATAGAGGTGGTTTCTTCTATATATTCTTGTTTCCCTATCCACTCTCTATAAACTGAAGGATCATTTAAAGTCAAGTTGCCACAGTGTCATGCTTAGATGCAGTCATGTCATTCTTGTACATAACCCTCCTTCGGGTTCATTTGAAACATGTTAGCTGCACACACTGACACCAAACAGGAAATTAGTGGGAACGCCCTTGTTTGTCAGACCTTGTTTCAGGCCAGGGTATTTGCAGTAGCAGCTCACCTAGATACAGTCACAGCTACACGGCTGAGCCATGAGCCTGTGATACAGCTCAGTCTACCCCTGCTGCCTCCCACCATCACCTGCCTTGGCCAAGAAATTTCTCCTCCTGTGCTCTTCATGGAGATCAATGAAGCCCACTCAGCCTTCCCAATACCCCTTAGTCACCATCATGCCAGCTGCTTCCTTCCTCAGGATGCAGCTACTCCCACTCAGTCCAAGATCAAAGCCAGGGGCCCAAGCCAAGACATCCCCTCCACCACCAGCCCTGTAGGTTTTCAAGGTCTACTGGAACTTCTTTGATCTGTGATATTAAGGAATGCATGTAGCACACAAGAAAGTTCAGTCTCATTTTTGCCAGTGGACATCATTTTAATAAAGAATAAAAAATCCCCATCAAGCAGGCACAAGAAAGGTTGTAAGAGGGCAAGCAGTTAGACTAGATGCTAGGGCTGCAGTTGGGGGAGCAGAGTTTTATAACACTCATGCATATGTATCACATTTTTGGAGAGTTCCCTCTTCTTTGACCTCATTTGGGGGAAAGGATTTCTTTCCTGCTTCCACAATATCTCCTCTCATGTTGTTGGCATAGTTTGAAGGAACTGACTTAAGAAATTCTGATGTCTGGAACGTATATTTCTTGACAACCTGCTGACAAGCTGTGTCCATTGACCAACATCTACTGGCCCAGTATAGACCAGCTCTGCTTCCTCTCCCCTGCTACAGCTTTTGTCAGTGTTGCCTCACTGGGATTGTGTTTATACTATGGACAGTGGAGACTCAAAAGCATGCCTTGCACGTGCATCAAAAATCAGGGGAAGGTTTTGATAACATTCAGTTTGCATGGCAGTTAATCCCACAAACCAAACTGAAGATCTTCCTGCAAGAAAGCTCAATTTCTTGTGCAAATAACTGCACCTTATTACAGAAAGCTCAGTTTTACCTGAAGAGCAAGGCTGTCAGCCAAGTCTCAAAGCTGTCGACTGAATCTCATAACAGAATTTTAGGTGGATTTTTAAAAGATCTGGATCTCAGAGCACTGATAAGAACTGGGAGTCAAATGAACTGGTGGGAGAGCTCACCAAGCCACTTCCTATCATTTACCATCAGTCCTGGTTAAACAGGGAGGTCCCAGATGACTGGAGGTTAATCAATATGATGCCTGTGGAGACGCCCAGCTACAAGATGGTTGTCTTGAGGTGATTTTACAATGAGTAGTCTATTCCCTTATCATCTGCTGTATGCCCAGAAATGGGCTGTAGCTTTAAGGTGGATCGAGGGGAGGGGGGAGCCTTGGGACTCTTCCGACGGCTTTTTCAAAGCCTCACTCCCCAGGCATCCTTGGTGCTGTGTGGACTGCATCCTTTTTATTTGCTTAGCTAGCTTGGTTTTCGTTAGTTTAGGCAAGAAAGTTTTTTTTACTTTCTGCAGCCTTGGAGAGGCTGCTGCAGAAATCCTTGGGTGGCTTTTTTTCCGAAGTGAACTGTATGGTTTGGTTTTGGTCTGAGATCCGAGAGAACAACCAGCAGGAGAAGAATTGGCTGGGGGCTGCTCCATTTCGGCACCAGACCTTGGAAAAGCTGAGCCAGTGAGAGAAAGGACACCAAATCCACCTGCTTCCCCTGCTGTGAAGAGGGGACCAACACCAGAGATTCACCAGGTTCCCATCTGTTTTGCTGGAGCCGCTGTGTGAACATTTTGTTTTGGCTTTTTTTTTTTTTTTTCCTTGAGACAGGAGCTGGTGCCATTTTTTCTTCCCACCAAGTTGCAGCCATGGTGGGGTTTTTTCCTTTTTTCTTTCCCTGGAATTTTGGGCTCTTTATTCTGGTGGGGGGGGGATCTGCCCCTTGCCAGGTGTACTTATTTTTCCTCTGAACAATGTCTTCAGAGTTGTGGCTTATTGCTGGTTCTGGTTGTGAACTGCTGGGATTCATGAAGAGGCTCTAGCACCTTAAATAGTTTTGTAGGGTGGTATTTGTGAGCTTGAACAGATTCCCACAGACATATCTTAATTAGAAAAAAATAAATTCCATTACTTCACAGTTGTAACTGGTAGAAATTTTTGCAAAGGTAGTGAATTTACGGCACTTGAGTTCACTAAAGTATTCCTTTAATCCAACGGAAGATGACTAGGTGCTAAAGCCAGGAGGACCTGTTTCAATCAAGTACTTTGACTGTCACATAACACAGGTGGAAAACAACAGAAGGGGGACTAGGGGACTGCAAACCACTGTATATCAAACACAGACTTTCGTAACACTTATAAAAAATAAGCACTTCATTTCTTATTGTATACATTTATATACATTTTAATCAGCACAGATTAGTCAAAGCTCCATTTTTTTTCTTTGATGAGGACATGGTTTTATGAGGACTTCAAAGTGGAAACCAAGTTGCTTTCTCAAAGCTAATGCTGCATGTATATCGTATGATAACTGTTTAAAATTATTTTAAATGAGGTAATTGTAATACTTTATCATTATCTTGGGAGGATACTTTAAATAGGATACCAGAGAGGTCAATTAACGACTGTGGAGAGACTTACCAACCTAATATTAAGGTGATATAAAGCTGGGAGGGATTATGCATCCGTAGAGGACTACAAAACCACTTTGATAAATGACAGAGGAAAGTAAAATAAATAACATTGGTAAAATGAAATTTAGTCGAGCTAATGTAAAATGATTCATAGTAGATATTTAAACATACAAAGGTAGATGTAGGAAATGCAGAAAGGCATTGATATGACAGAAATGTCTGAGAGCTACAGTACTATTTACGTACATTCAGACAAGGGTCCAAATATATTTGGACACTAACATATATTCGGGAAAACGTTCAGTCATACAGGTATGACAGTGTTTTGTATGCAGTAGCTGTAGCTGACTGGTATTTTAATGGGGTTTATTACCTCATTTGCTTAGTTTTTTACTATGGTGAATTTTAATTCTCTTCTTTAGTCCAGTAATGCCCCAGATTGATAAATGCTAAGCTTGATGTAGTAGCCATGTAAGGTGAATCTAATTTATAAAGTTCTCCATAATTTCTCTCTAGTGAGTGTCATTGGAAATGATTAACTAACTATAAACTCAGAAGTCAGGTTGCATATTTGCCTAAATTTGTTTCTACTGAGATCTGAAATTCATTTACAGAGAAGAAAAGGCTTCACATAAATCATGTTAGACGTGACAGATCAGTATATTAAGCTCAGTAAAACCAGTGGAAGCTCTCTCATTTTTGCTGGGTTATGACTATAACCTGAAGACCTTAACTAAAGCCCTGTTTATTGGAGTGTCTTGCACTACAAGGCTGTAAAAGGTCACTTCAAAACAAATTAATAGAAGAGTGTTTTACTTTAAGATGATCTATGAGGCAGTTTCAGTGTAGTCCTTAAGCCTCTAAGATTCTGCTTGTTGTCTTTCAGATAGAGTGTAAGACTGCAGCCAGTTTCTTGAGAGAAAACTGATCCAGTTCTAGGATGCAACATGGTCCAAATGAATTGCTGTGCAGAAACCCTTAATTTATAGCTGGAGTCCTACACCACCTTTGTGATTAAATGGAACCAGCTTCCCTTGTGGGCACTACTAGCTCTTCTGTAGTGGGCTTGTCTATGGTGCATCAGCAGGTCAGCTGCCTGACATCACTGATAAGAAATGACATTCA